GCAGATCCCCCTCCTCCTCCTCTCCCTCCTCCCGCGCTCTCGCCGCAGCCCCCCGGCCCCGCACGTCTGCACCCCGGGAGCAATCCGCCCCCCGTCTCACCTCCCGGGACGCCTCGGGTGGCGGCGATCGGAGGTTCGAGCGGCGCTCGGAGCCCAGGCTTGCAGCAGCCAGAGTCCGTGCGCACCTCTGCTCGGCCCGGGCCCCGGGCCTCTATATAGGGCCTCCGGGGACACTGAATGGCCTCCGGGAGGAAGCCTGGGTGCCCCGAGGGTCGCGGCGGGGATTTATGGGCTCGCCAAAAACAATAGCGCTCCGGCCCGGCCCTGGCGGGGACCTGGCACGGCTCCCGGAGGAGGGGGCCGCCTGCGCTGCTGACCTCCCGCTTCCTGGCCGCGCCGCCCTGGCCACGGCCGTGCGCTTTGCAAACGGGCAATGCCGGCCCGCCCCGGTGCGAACGGTGCCCCGGCCGAGCCAGGAAAGAGCAGACAAAGGTGCCTGCTAGCCACTCCTCCACTTCTAACCTTGCAGGGGCCCAGGCCGAGCCCGTGACCCTCTGGGCTAGTCCTTTGGCTGTAACGGAAACCTCTTACGGATCCCTTTGCCACACCTTCACCGTTTCTTCCCTGGGAATCTTAGGATTCGCTCGTAGAAGGGGGAGCAAGAAGGCCTAGGATTTTAAAACACTTTGCACCCCGGGCGTCGCAAAGTTAGGGAAAGCAGTTTGAAGTTCCACAGTTCCACGACTGAAAAGGAGACTGTGATTTTACGATTCTACAAACTGCCCATGGAAAATTTTTTCTTTCTTTTTTTTTTTTGCATAGTTCTGTACTTGGAAAGTTATGCTTCGTTATCAATAGAAGTTCCCTTTTTATTCACTGATCTGTATAGTCCCCAACATGTGTTGCTTCCCACCGAAAATGGCTATTTCTGACTTCCACATCCCTCTGTGGCTTCTCCTCGTTACTTTCTTCAATGTTTTCTTTAATTGCGAAGTGCCAGGATAAACAACATAAAGCTTGAATTAACATTGGGGGGAAAAGCTCAGAATCCTTGCAATACCTCTCAAACCATCAAAAGGATGGAATTGGGAACCCGCACCTGAGTTTGGGGAAACAATTGACTTTTAAAATAGTAGAGAGACGCTTATTGTTTGCCACGAGGGAAATAATTTATTATCTTTTTGTTTTTGCTATAGTTATTAACCAGCAAAAAATTATTTCCTAAACACCCCTGATTGGCCTGTTAAATTAGAAATAGATTACCTCCCAATTATTTCACAAGAATCTGCTTAATTAACCTTTAATAATCTGTCATTATTCGGTTTTCTGTGATAATATGCAAAGCTCTTTGGAAACTATCCATTGCCTTGCAACTTGATTTTCTGATGCCTTTTACACGAACGGGGAAATTGCATTAGAACAAAACGAAAGAACGTAGAGTGTGCCTTCTAAGGCAAAGCTTCCATTTATCTCCAAGTTTTTAAAACGACCGAGGGTGTGGCTAACTAAATTCTCAGACTGATTTTCACTTGTGACTACTATGAACTACCATTAACTCATCAGCCCACTAGGCATCAAAAAACTTTTGAGCAGTATCTGAACATAGAGTGACCAGATAATATTTCTGACTAGTGATTTAAGTCATGGAGTGTCAAACGAAAAGCTACGGACTCTCCATCCATTCATGAGTAATTTAAGTAAAATAAGCCAGGTACATCTTTGAATTCAGGTCCTTGGATTTCTTCCACGCTTCTGGCATTCTGGCACTTGGCGTTTTTGTGTCTCTCTCTCATTCAGGAAAGCTTCGCTGAGGAAAGTTTGTTTTCCACTCACAGCATCTCATGCCTCATCCTCAATTCTGTCAACAAGATTTTTCACTAAAGCTTCACTCAGTCCATGCCTACGCTGCTAATCAAAATCTGTGCAAGTAGCCTAAGCTACTAAGGCCTGAAGAGCTATCATTAAACCATTTGCAAAATTAACACGTTTTTGTTTCTCGTCTAAGTAAAGTTAGAACAGGAGGCCCATGTTCAAGGAGTGAGCACAAAGAAACATTGAGAGCCAAGAAAACAAAGTAGCCATTATATGTCAGTTTAAGTTATCAAAGTGTAGGCCAAAAATAACTAGGCCACATATGTTTGTGAAATTTCTTCTAAGTGTACTTTGATACAAAAAATTAAATGAAAAATTAATCAAGCCTATGAATATAAAACTTGCTAGAAATCTTATTCTCTGCAGTGAGAGAATCATTTTTTTGACATTAAAGGGGCAATATGGTTCAGCGTTTAATTGCTGGCAGTAATGAGATTCTACAGCTGATTCCCCAGTGGAATCCCAGTATCCAAGGTAGAAGAAAGCTAGCCACCCCCCCGCCCCTGTCTAGCGTCCCCAGTATAGAATTCCTCCCAGTCACCACAAATCTCAGCGATGAGTTACTCATATCTTAGAGATCAGATTTTCTTCCCTATTGACATTCATATTTTTGCTTTTGCCCTTTACATTCAATTAGGTTGGAATTTTTCTTTTCTCCTTTTCCCCTTCAAAAGCCACCTGTTTTAGGGCCCCATCTCTGATTAAGCCTAATTAAGAAGGAGCTGGCGAAGCCTGCCAAATATTACTTTTGCTTATTGCATGTTGTTCAGTTGATAATCACACATCTTCAGTTCAACAACGACTTATTAGTCAAAGAAATATTATTGAGGACTATTGGTCAGATATTATGCTGGGTGTTGGGATTACAAAATTGCTGGTTCATGTAGTCACTTAATATTTGTAAAGTACAGGTCCAGCTTTAAGGGAACACAATGGTAAACCAGATAAACGAGATTCCCAGTCTAACAAGAAAGATAAACATTTACAACAAAGAGTATCATGATAAGGAAAGATAAGAAGTGCGGGAAAACAAAGCAGGAGTCTCTAAACTGTGTGTTCATTGGTGGCAATGGGGTGTTAGAGAAGCAGCACTGGTCTCTAAATTGGACCTGCAGATGCATAGGAGCTAGACACACCTGCAGTGGGGATTGGTGTCCACTTTGCATTTGAGAAGGATCTCTCTGGCCGATTTCTAGGCTTAGGTTAGGTCCTAGGTTCCCAAACTTTGTTGCGCGTAGGGATTGCCTTGGTGAAGTACAGATCCCTGGGCTCCTCCCCCGAGAGATTCTGATCCATTAAGTGGAGCCCAGGGATCTGCGTGTCCACCAGATCCTCAGGTTGGTTTGTTGTTGCAGATTCCACCGTGCAGAGTGCTATTTGGACCTCAAGGGCTGTCTTCTAAACGGTTTGTGCCACCCAAGGGTTCCTGTCAATTCAGCTGGAAGAAGACAAAACTAAGAAAACTAGTTCTTTGGTTAAAGTAGCCTGGGAAAGAGATAATGGCGGCCTGGAGGAAAGCAGATTAGAAGTGAGCAGATCTGAGATCGAAGAGATCGACAGAAACAACAGGGTGTGTGGCAGAGAAGAGACTCAGATTTCAGCTCAGGCAGCCGAATGAATGTGGTGACATTAGCTGAGTGGGGGACAAAAAGGAGAAGGCAATGTGAGGAGTTGAACTGTGGACACAGCTGAGTTTTAAAGTGCCTGAAGGACATCTAGGGGCCCTGGCGACTCTGTGGGTGAAATTCTTGGCTGTGAATGGAGAGTGGGCAGTTCAAGCCCACCAACCCACCAGTTCCATTCTGCCCTTTCAGGTCCATATGACTTGGAATCAACTCAAAGGCCGTGGGTTTGTGGTTTGTGGTTACAGGATATCTGCATAGAAAAAAAAACAAAAAACCCAGTAAGCTGTTAGTTGGGTCTGAAGTTTGGCAGACAGATTTGCCTGAATGTAAGTACCCCTGAATATAGGATATACCTCAATTTTTCCAATTAAAATAGCCACTCCCCAATAACACTACATGGCCCACGTAAGTGTATAAACTTAAACTTTGATATATAAAAAATAAATTAGATATTCATGATTTATTGATAAGATGTATTTTAATGATACTTCAAACCCCAAACAAATTTCTGTTAGCTGTCATCTTTTTTTATTTTGCATCATTCAGGTTTGTTCGGAACATAACAGGCACGAAGGGGTAAAAAAGACACATAAACTGCAGCCTGTGCTCAGGCATCAAAGAACAAAAAATAATATCATTGTGTGCTCACCTTCATAATACGATCGCTGAAGACAAATGGGTGCATAAGCAAATGTGGCCAAGAAAGCTGATGGTGCCCAGCTATCAAAAGACATAGCATCT